GCTATAAAACTAGTTATTTCCTGGGCAAGGGATACAGCTCAGTGGCAAAGCACCTGCCTGGCTTGACTGAGTCTGACTACTAGTTTTCACACGCACATACACAAAATACTCCCCCAAAACAAAAACTAATTATTTCCCAGAATTGGATGCTTAATAAACACCTTCTAGGAAATGGACCAGGAAGGAGAAAGCACTTGGAACAGGGAGGCTAGGCCTCTTGAGTGCAAGAAGGTGAGGTGTGCTGATTGCTGTGGCCTAAGGGGATCATGGGGCAGAACATACATGGGAGACGAGTTCACTATGTAGTTGTACTTGAAAACAAGTGTCAAGACTTCCCTTTATGAATGCAGAATTTCACTTTTAAGACATTCCACTCTTTAGCCACTTCTTGAATTCCTACAAAGAGATTCCTTTTGTAGAGAAAATATCAAGACATTTAGAAAAATTAACAAGCACAATGATTTGGATACTTAAGAAATTAAGTTTTTATACACGTGGAAAACTAAGACAGGCCACAATGATTATAGAAGATGGCCAGTTGCTTACCTTAATACCCATTTTACTCCCTTTTGCTTATAGACAGAGCCTCCAAGTTTCAGTTGCATACAAATTTATTTTTTTTAAAAAGCTAGGAAGATCAAAAATTTGAGCCTAGCCTGGGCAACTTACTGAGATGCTGTCTCCAAATCAAAAATTAAAAGGTGGCAGGGTTGAGGGAGACTGGGGAATTCAGTGGCAAAGCCGTGACTTCAATCCCCATTATGAGTGTGTGTGCACTCTGCAGTCTCCTTTGCAGCTACCTATGCATTTGACCAAGTTCTGTGTGGAGTAATATAAGCAGGAAAACTGTGTCAAAGTATCAAAAGTTGGCACACGCCTTATGCCTCTTCTTCCATTCTCTTTCTAATGCAGGTGGAAGGTGTATGTTAAGGAGAGCAGTGCACATACAGACTCTTCATCTGATCATCTTTGGACTGCTTGTCCCTAAATTTTTATGTGAAAACAAAATACCCTTTTATCTTATTTAAGCCACTGTACTGGGTTGAACAGAATGCCTACAAGATTTATGGGACCTCAGAATGTAATGCTATTTGGATATAGGGTCTTGGCAGATACAATTAGCTGAGGTTCAGGAGAGCTCCTAATCTAATGTGACTGGTGTCCTCTTAAGAAAAGGGCATGGGGATACATACACAAAAAAGCATATGTACATGACGCTGGAAGCAGAGACTGGAGGATCTACAGCCCCAAAAGGCCAAGGACTGTGGGCAACTACTAAATGCTAAAATAGGTGAAGAAGGATCCACCTGTAAATCCTACAATCAGCATCACCCAGTGAACATGTGGACTTGACTTTAGCTCCCAGACTCGGAAGATTTCTGCTGCTTTGAGCCCCTTCTCACTCTGTTTGTAGTGTTTCGTTATAGCAGCATAGGAAACTCATATAGCTACTGATGATGTGTTGTCCTTGTTATGCAAGACTACATCTACCTCTAATTATGTAGAACTCAGTCAATTCTTTTCTTTTTTTTTTTTTTTTTTTAGCTTTTAGTTTTTGAGACAGGGTCTCACTATACAGTTCAGGCTGGCTTTAAACTTGCAGTGATCCTCCTGCCTCAGGTCTCCTGAGAACTGGGATTGCAGGCATGTATCACCATGTCTGGCCTTCCAATTTACTCTTAATTCACAGGATTACCAAGTGTTGCCAGCTCCATTCTAACAGTCCAGAGCCCTCCTTCCATGCCCACTAAGATGCAGTGTGTTCACCTCCCTTCACAATGTGATACTGAACTCAAAATCAGGACAGCAAGCAGGGCTGAAGCAGGGCTAATAACATCACTTGGCACTCATTTCCTAACACATAGGCTTATTTTTGTTGTTGCTTTTTGAAACTATACCATCTTGTCTTCATTACCTATCCTCATTTCATCTTTTTTGGACAAGTAACCTCTGGATCATCTTAGCAGCAAATTTTAAAAGTTATAATTAGGAGACCAAATTTTAGGTCTATCTAAAGTACGTATGTTAACTAGACCTATTTACCTAAAGTTTAGATACATAACTGTATTGTAGCAGTCCCATCCTTATCCATAGGGAATATGTTGCAAGACCTGCTATGGATGCCTGAAACCATGGACAGAATCAAATCCCATATGTACTGTGTTTTCCTGTACTCATACCTATGATGAAGCCTAATTTACAAATCAGACAAGAGAGTAACAACAGTAACTGATACAGTAGCTCCCCTAACTGCGCTATGTAGTTTCAGTTTCTAAAATTTTAATTATGTACAGCCAACAGTGGTCCATAAGTGTTAAACAGAAATTTCTGGAAATAAAAAACTCATAACTTTTAAATTGGCCACCATTCTGAGTAGTGCAATGAAATCTCATACCACCTTGCTGTTATACCAGGACTGTGAATCATACCTTTGTCCAGTATCCTTGTATTGTGCGCACTACCTGCCTATTAGTTACTTAGTAACCACTTTGGTTATCACATCACCTGTCCTGTATTGCAGTGCTGCTGTTCCAGTAATCCTTGTTTTAGTTAGTAATGGTCCCAGAGTGCAGTGATGATCCCAGAGCAGTGATGCTGGCAATTGGGACAAGCCATGGAGCACTTCTGTTGAGTGAAAAAGTGAAACCTCTTGAGGGGCAATGGTAATAAATAAGGATGGAGAGGTAAACAGGGAATCCGCTCACAGAAGGCTTTGCAGCACATATGAAGGAAAACCAGTGCAGCTCTGGGCTTGAAGACACCAGAGCACAATAATTTGGACCCTTAAAGAAATTAATGGAGGGTGAGGGAAATACTTCCAGCACAAAAACAAACAAACCTGAAAAAAAAAAACCCACAATGTTGAACAATGTTGCCAATTTAAATGAAGGAAGTTCTAGCTCACCTTCTAGTATGTTAGCTGGGAAAGTAGCCTTTTTTTCCTTTCAGTACATTATCCCAACCACTTTGTTCCATTTATTTATTTATTTATTTATTTAAGATACGGTCTTGCTAAGTTGCCTAGGTTGGGTTTAAACTTGAGATCTTTGTGCTTCAACCTCCTACAATGCTGAGATTATAAATATTTGCCATCATGCCCAGCTTCAACAAGAGTTTAAGATAAACTAAAAACAAAAATAGAAAAGCAAAAATGATGCAGTTAAAAGATTGATTCAGAATATTGGAGCTAACTGGAGTTCCAGAAAGGAAAAATCCAAAATGATACTGAAGCCATCGTAATACACAACATCAGATTTATCTCCCAAATTTAAGACTCAAATCTATGGATTTAATGAGCCAACTGTATCTTGGGAACACACTGGGAATAAAAATAAGGTACTAAATTTTCCAGAGAGAAAATGACATCTCACATTCAAAGTATAGCACTGGACTTTTTAATACCATCTGTAGGAACTGAAGTAAAATGGAGTGATAGCTGAGAAGTGTGAATGGAATACATCTTAAAATTCAGGCACATATATCAGTGTAAAACTCAAGAGTAGATGTACAATAATGACATTTCTGGATATGCAAAAACAGGAGGCATTCTAAGGAAGTTCCCATCTATTCTGTTAAAGGAAAAATATGGGTCAAGAAACAGGAAACTCTAAGAATAAAAGATGAAGAAATATAGTCAAAGGAAGTCTCAAGATAGAAACAGGCAACAGACAGAAGTAACCCTCCAGATTGGGGAAGGTCAGAAAATCTCCAAAAAAAATACAAAATTCATTATGATTAATGTTAATTAACATGGGACATTCTAGGGGAAAGATACTGAATGGAAGACAAAAACCAAGAGAGGAATTAGGAAAAAATTCACATATATGAATGAAACAAAATTTTAAAGGTAGGCAATTATTACCTCTAGGAAACCCTGGTTACATAAGACAACATACTTCCCAGATAACAAGTGAGTAATATTTACGTGATAGTGAATTAGCAGTGACCATGGCTCTAATAAAAATTTTTGATGTAAATATACCGGAAGAATGGGAGAAGAGAAACGAGCTATGATTAAGAGAGTTAAGTCCTCCTCTTTTTTTTTTTTTTTGTCTTTTTCGTTTTTATCGGTACCAGGGATCGAACTCACGACTGCCTGCTTGCAAGGCAGGCGCTTATGCTGCTGAGCTAAATCCCCAACCCCTTAAGTCCTCCTCTTAAGAGAAAATCATTAGAAAAAAAATGCCTAAAGATAAACCAAGAAATAGCATTATAAGCAAGTGAGCTACAAATAGAAAAATAAATGCCACAAAAAAATAAGTTAAAAGAGTTGAATGTGTTTTTGTCTGGGGAATGAAACTGGTGGGAACAGTGAGATGTTTTAATTTACTATGAGTCTTTGATTTTATAATAATTTATGGATATATGTTGAAAAATTATAAACTGAATAATTTTACAATTATATAAATTAAAAACTGAAAATTAGATACATATCTGTATTGTAGCAGTCCCATCCTTATCCATAGGAAAGGGATAATTAAATTAAAATTAATTTAATTAATTAAAAACTGAAAATTGGAATAAGAACCCTGAACTTACTTTCAACCCAAATTGTGGTTATAACTGTACAAAATTCAGTTTGCAACAACTTAATGCAGTTGAACCTTCATCAAATTCCTACATCTATAGTTATCTGGAGCTGCCATTAGTTTACCACCAAATTGATTCAACATCAATCAATTTTGTTTCTTAATTTCTGATTTTGATTTTCAGTAATGCAAATTACCACAAAATGTATCTTTGCTAAGTGAATTTTTTGATCAAATTATCAGAGTGACTGACTTGTTCATTGAGTTTTTCTCAGAGAAATCACTAATAAAGTTCTCTCTGCAATTCAACTATTATTAGTTCATTTCCTCCCCTCCTGTAAGATCTGGTTTTAGCAATTCAAGGACCCATGTGTGTTTATCACAGATCCATGGGTAGACAAGAACTTTAGTTTTTCATGTATTCACTGCTTATAGTATGGGAGAAAAAAGACAATTATCAGATAATGGAAATTTAGTAAGCGGTAGTTTTAATACTATGTGAGAGTGTATAGGAAGGTTGCTAAAGAAATACCTGTTATCAAATCCAGAAGCTGTCGGTACCTTAAAAACACTGAAAAACATCAACAGGTCATACAGGTTTAAAGGAGCAATTATGTAACAACACTGCCTTTCTCTGTAAGGCATTCTACACCATCAAATATTTCTCTAATCTATCCTTTTGTCCAATAAAAAAGCTTTAGGTTACTTTTTAAAAAATTGTATCTATATTGTGAATGCCTAGCCAATAACAGGGAATAGTAACAGTATTTCATAAGTGTATCTGATAATTTTACAAATAATATCTCCATTGTGATAATGGAGTACTAAAAGAAATATACTTTTGAAGGAAATGGCTTTTTTCCTTATGTTGTCAATCTACATAAAATACCATTATTCATTGCTCTTCAAGAAGATTTTTAAAATGCTCAATTTCATGTTTAGAAAAACATGCACAGCTCCATCATTTAGACACATTTAGACTCAAAAGGTTTTGCTGTGGGCTCAACATTATTGTAAGAAAAAATTTGCAGCATCAAAGGATATGAATTTTCACACTCAAACAGTCCATTTCCAATGCCCAGCATGATGAAAGAAATCCAGCCCACAACACAATGATGAACTTCAGGACAGTGATTCCAAAGCCTTCCAGAGAGAAGAAAAACCAGTTACAAATGAGGATACTGATTTTATCAACACCAATTCAGAAAAACAATAACGTAATACTCTGAGAGAAAATAGGTTTAATCGAAATTATTAAGTACATGACAGAATCAAGATATTTTCAAATATGTTTCTGAGAGAAATTCTGAGAGAAAATAGGTTTAATCGAAATTATTAAGTACATGACAGAATCAAGATATTTTCAAATATGTAATGCCTTAAAAAATGTACTTCCCACTTGTTATTCTCAGAAAACTACTAAAGGATAGTCATCCAAAGATGGGAGAGGAAATCAAGAAAATGAAGATACAGGATCCCACACAAGGGATTCAACAACGTAGGAAAAAGTTTCAACAAACCAGTCTCTAAAGAATAGGAGTTTAGCTTTCCAAGACTCTTCTTGGCCTTCTGTATCTCTTTCAAGTTAAAGCAACAATAAAACACCCAACACATCAGTATTTATATGAACTGAGCCAGTTTTATAAATTTTTGTGGGGGGAGAGGGCTTGAGACAGGGTACCACTATACAGTTCAAGCTTGCCTTGAACTTGCAGCTACCGTTTGCCTCAGCTTCCCAAGTGCTGCAATGGCAGGTGCACACACCACACTCTCAACACCATTAATTTTCATTACCATACAACTTTATGTTTTCCTTGGAATTATGTATCAACTCTCTTTCCTCTGAGAGACTGCCTTCTGAGTCCTTCATTTTTCTGCTCACATGTAAGCTGAGGGTTCTCTGGGCCTCTATTTAGCTACTGAACAGATCTCCCTCCATCATCATCCTGGGAATTTTCTTCTCTTGCCTTGGGTTTTCTATTTTCCTGAGTCAATGCTATTTTTTTCTAGACTTACTCCTTGAGTTGTAGTGGGTTGAAGAGTAAACGGAAATTAAGGAGGTATAATGAGTACAGATCATTCTGAGACATCTGCTTTGAAAGAGGAGGAAGCCTTACAAGGATGTATTTAGAAACATGGAGGCAGAGACCAGAAGCAATCCAGCTAAAAGAGTTAAAAGTAATTACAGTGGGGGAGGTACGGAGTTCAGGAATTCTGTTTTCCATTGCATGGTTTGTGCTGCCAATAAACCTTCCACAAGTCGTAATTTATTAGGCATAACTCTTGGAAGGAGAATGGGGGAAAGGGGACAATTCTCCAGGGAGAGAAAGACTAATTGCCAATATTTTTCCCAGGTGGACTTTTATGTGAAGGTATGATACGATATGAATAAGGACAGAATAGTGAATATGTGGCTACATTTGGTTACTGGGAAATGATCAAAACATTTTTATGTACAGGAATAGCTTGAACAGCTAAGGCAGGTTAGAGTTGAGCAAGGTTACAACAGAGAGACGAAGTGAAGCCCATGGGCCAATTCCACGTAAGAGATGAGATGTGTCTGAAATACACGGACTCTATTGGGTTAATATGAAAGTTGCAAAAGAAATACAACCGAGAGATATCAATGACAGATTGGATTACAATAAAAAAGGGAGGAATCTAGGAAGAGCCCTAGATTTCTTAGACAGCTGAACAGATGGTCTTCTCCAAGTTAAAGAATTGTGCAGATTTAAAGAGAAAAAGAGGTGAGACGGAGACAACTCACTGAGATGTCTAATAGGCAGCTGAATAAACATCTGAAGCTTTGTAACAAAAATTGGTGACATTCAAGTATGTATGTGTTACTCAGAAAAGAAATTTAAAGGCCAGAGGGTAGACGAAATCACCTAAGAAGAGGGTTTCACCTAAGAAAAGGGCAAATAGTGAGTTGTAACAGCAAATGATAGCAGGAACAGAGATTATAGTCCTCAGAAAGATAACGGTCAAAATGCCAAACACTATAAAGGTCAAGTATAACTGACCAGATTCCAATAGATGTAGACCTCACTGGTTTTTAATAGTGATTTAGGAGGCCTATTGGAAATAGAGGTCTAATTTGTAATCAAATATAATGGAAGAGGTAATCAGAAGTAAGTAGGTGAAGACAGAAATACGTGATTCTTTAAGAAACTGGGCTATAGGAAAAAACAATGGGCTGAGGAGTAGCAGAATAAAACTTCAATGGTCTTACCTTGTCTCCTCTATATTTATGATAGTGCAGGGAGAATTCAAAATTGTGAGAGATTAAACGACCATGAAGTTAAGCAATTGGCCGCTTAATACCCAACTAAAGTGAAAACTTATGATCACCAAAAACTGAAAAACTACGTATGAATGTTGTCTTGCTTTTCTCCTTGCTGAGACAAAATACCCAACACCCAAAGTTAGAGAAGGAAAGATTTATTAACTCACAGTGTGTAGAGGTTTCATTCCATAATCAGCTGGTTCCAAGGGAGGGTGGCACAGCTGATAGGCACTGCAAGCTCCAAAAAGGGCAAATCCTTAACACTGCTAAGTGAAAGAAGCCAGCTGAAAAAAGCTGCATATTATATAATCCTAGTTATATCACATTCTGGGAAAGGGCAAACTATAGACAGCAAATTTTGAGAGATAGAGGGATCTGAATAAGCAGATAAAACACAGGTTTTTTGATTTGTTTTTTGTTGGACAGGAGGGCGTTGAATCTATTCTGTATTATACTGTAAGGATGAATATAAAATATTAAACATTTATCAAACCCCATAAAGTCTTACAGGACAATGAATAAACCTTAGTGTACATAAACTTTTATTTTAAAAAAATCTATATGGAAGATGCCAGGACCAAACACAGAAAGTGAGAAATGAATGTGAAGAATTTACAAGCGTAGGGAGAAGGTAACCATTCACAACCCAACACAGGCCCATCAGATAATCAGCTGGCGCTCTGAGGACTTCCATTTTCCAGAATTGAGAAATAAAATGCTTGTTTAAAAGCTTCCTACCTTTGTACGTTATAGTGGCCTGAATGGACTACGATAATATATGATGTCTTTCATCTTCTCAACAATCCTAAGTAGGTATGATCATCATTTCCATTTTCAGATGAGGAAACTAGTCATACAGTGAGTTGTAGAATTTTGAACCTTCAACACTGCTGCTGTCCAAGTGATGAGTACACACAAACATCCTTGTTTTTCTACTGCTTCCCTTAACACTAGTCTGTTCTGGCTGTACTTTAAAGCACAGTGACAGTTTAGCTATTTTTTTTGTCTTTTTTGAGACAGTCTCACTCTGCAATGTAGGCTGGTCTTGAGCTCACTTTGTAATGGAGGCTGGTCTGCAATAATCTTCCTGCCCCAGCCTCCTGAGTGTTAGAATTAGTTAGTTAATATTTTACCAGGTTCACCAGTTTTTCAGTTTAGGGAACAGGAATCCTTGCTAACCATGTCCTATCTTCTTATCTTTCAGATTTTGTTATTTGGAATTCCAGGTATTAATGTTGAGTTTTTAAACATATATAAAATAACTCACTTTTGATTGTTTAAGCAAAAAAATTTTTATCAAATAAAACCCAAAACAATAACGAAAGTCCCACTAGCAGACAGTGAACAGAATTTTGCTAGGCCAGAGAATCAAACTCGAAGTTTTATGTAAAGCAAGAAATTCCTGATCATTCACAGCCAAATAGCTCCACAAAAACCTCCCTGCCTTAGCCATGACACACCCTCATGAATAACCAGGTCACTACCACTGCTGTCTTCAAGGTTAGACAAACATCAAATGTATGCGTGGCTAAGTGAGGACAGTTCATAAAGCTCTCCAAAGGTGAAGTTCTGGTCTGACTGGAAGACTCCCACTGCACAACTCAGCCTGACCAGCAGGACAGACTGGGAAAAACAGGTATCTAATCTCTGGCTTAGTTAAGGGTAGAGGAAATTCTCTAAATACAAGAAGGGTTTTCAAAATAGCAGATGGGCCATCAAGAGTATCAAATGTTAGGCCAGCAGGCTGAGGCAGGACTGCTGCCAAGTTCACTGACAGCCTAGGCTACGAGGAGTGTTCAAGGCCAGCCTGAGAACTGCACAGCAAACTCATCTCAAAAGGCCAAAAAAAAAAAAGAAACAACAAAAACAGGGTTTGCAGTCTTGCGTTCTGCCATTACATCCCTAATGGCAGGGTGAGATGGAGGTCAGTGAATTTGCTCTCTGCACCCCTACACTGCATCCCTGATGGTGAGATTGGCTGAAAGACAGTAAGTTTGTGCTCTGTGCCCCTCCACTGCATCCTATAAGGTGGGCTGGCTGGAGGCTAGATGGGCTTGCACTCTGCACTCCTGCATCCAGACAGGTGAGGGTGACTGGAGGATAGCAAGTTCGTATTCTGAGACTCCTTTATTACCCCTACAGAATGTGTGGGGCCAGCTGGAAGAGTGTAAGACCAATGGGAACCCCAAGACCCAGGACAACAACCTGGCACAGAAACATACACACATACCTTTGGAGAGCGAAGTAATCAGCCAGGCCAGTAACATGGAAGTTTCTGAAGCAGCAGTAAGACAGCAGTTGGACTCTGGAGAACTCCACTGACAGAAGACAAGCCCCAGACCCCACATCCAGGGGCCAAGGTCGGCTCCATACCCAGCACATTTCTGGGATGGAACATAGACATTATCACAGAACTGTAAACACCAGAAGGTAGGTTCATGGGATGGTTATAAAGAACCAACTATACATGGAAGACATCCCTAAGGAATGGACATCTCCTTTCCTCCTTGGGAGAGGCCTCAATGTTAGCAGTAGAGCTATGTATCATGTGAGATTGGCAGGAATCAACATAGAAGACAAAATAAAAGCAAAAAGAGAGGGAATCAACATAGCAGACAAAATAAAAGCAAAAAGAGAAGGTGGAGAATGGCAAGATACAGAGGTGGGGTGCAATCCCAGACCCCCAGTCCACCCAGGTCAGGCCTGGAACTCAATGAGATGGATGAAGTTGGAAGTCAAACCCTGAAACTTTCTGAAATAACAACAGAAGTGAAAAAACAAATGACAAAAACTAGAGAGAAAAAGACCTCTCAGGTATAAAAAGAAATGCTTAAAACCAAAAATATTAGCAAAGATACAAACAAAATAAATGAGCTTGGAAAAAGATGGAAACAAAAAATTTCCAAAATAGGAGAGAAATGGAATTCATGAAACAGATCTAACCAGAGATCCAGGAGATTAAAACTTCCACTGAGGAAGCGGGGGGACCTCCACTGAAAGTATATGCAACAGACTGAAGGACAGGACAGAATTTCAGATCTTGAGGACAGACCTGCAGCTAGTGATCATGAAAAGAAAGGTACCTCAAAAATAGCAAGAGATTAGGAAAAGCCATTCCAACAGCCACAAGATGAGGCAAGGAAAAATAACATGGGATTGATCAAGGTCAATGAGAAAGGCAGAGATAGCACAAATGCCTTAACAATCATAAATATATATACACATACTACAAGAGTATCCAACCATGTAAGATGGTTATTGGTAGACATAGAGAATCAAATAAGCAGTAACATAATTGTAATTGGAGATCTCAATACCTACTGTCACAGACACATCAACTGGACAGAAAATCAGCAAAGAATAATAGGCTGGCGTTATTCTGGTGAGCCAAGGGAGGGCCCACCATTATGGAGAAGAAATGGTGATATCTGCCCTGTGCCTATCCACCACTCCAGGAACCACGGATTGGAGGAACCCAGGTGCCCAGTCCAATCCACACCACCAAGGGATTAACAACCAATACAGGAATCACTCAGGATGTAGCAATGGGTTGATTTCAAGGAACACAGGAAAATGTGAAGATGAAGGAACAAAATACAATCTCAGAGCTCTAGCCCACATAGAACATGGTCAGTGGACACAGACATGGTAGAAATCAGAGATCACACACCTGAAATTTCTGAAAAGATAACAACTGAAAAAGCAACCTAGTTCTTGCTGTTTGATTAATTCTACATGCTTTTGTCTCATGGTCTAGATAGCTATTTTGAAGAAAACAAGCGGCATTATGGTAGCCATTATTGATTTTCCTTTATCTTATTTTGAAGTCCTGTACCGCTTTCATGGTTCTATTTTGATTGGCTTTATTCTATTTTGTTTGGTTTTATTCTCTTTAAAATAAAAATTTAAAAAATATTTTAAAAAATCAAATGTCTATTACATTGAATCTTGCCAGTTATATTGTAGCATACATTTAAGTTATATTCACTTTTAGTCGGGCTGGGGATTTAGCTCAGTGGTATAAGCACCTGTCTGGCAAGTGCAAGGTTATGAGTTCAATCCCCAGTACCACAAAGAAATAAAAAAAAGTCTTCTCAATTTTAGTTAATACAGAAAATTAATTTCAAATTTCCCAAGCATTAACTTGTAGATTTAGAAATTAATCTGAAATTCACTACACATAATACACTAAATGATTAGTGTAGTTAGGGATAATTAAGAAAACACATTGGGAAGATGGATACCCACTAAATTGAACAAGGCTAATAAAAATTTCAGTAGTAGGAGTCATTTGTACTTTTCTAATCATTTGATATGACAATGCCAGGAAAAGCAACCTAAGGAAAAGTGTTATTCTAAAGGGTAACAAAAAACACAAGCACTAAAGACAGACTAAAACTCACACTTTAAACACATTAGTTTGTACAAAATAAACGTTTAATATTCAGCATGGTATATTTGAGTACTAGGAAGCTCAAAAAGGTATTCACACTAACATTCATAAATTAATTCCACAAGTCAAACTGTTGAAATTTCAGGGATGCTTTTGACTGTTATCCTAGAAATACTGGCATATGGACTTTTTTTCCCTGGTTTTTGGAGACAGGATCTTCACAATGTAGTCCAGGCTGGTATTGAATTCACAGTGTAGCAAACTGGCCTCAGACTTGCTGAGATCCTCCTACATCAGACTCCCAAGCACTGGGATTACAGATATATACCACTATACCTGGCTTTTGTTCTTCAAATCAAATCAAATCAAATCAAATCAAATCTTTTTTTTTTTTTTTTTTTTGGTGGTGAGGCTGGGACTCAAACCCAAGGATTCTTGCATGCTAAACAAGTGTTCTATCACTGAGACTCTTCCTTGGGTCCAAAATTCCAGCCTTAATTCATTTTATTCAATTAAAAAAAAAAAAAAAAAAAGAGGCCAGGCATACTTCATACTTATAATCCCAGCACTCAGGAGGCTAAGGTAGGAGGGTCACAGTGAGTTCAAGGCAAGCCTAGGCTACATACTGAGTTCAAGGGTAGTCTGAACTACACGGCAAGACCCTGTCTCAAAACAGAAACCCCAAACCAACAAAAGACAAAATGGTATTGTTAAAAATATGAAAAATAAAATAAAATAAAACTGTATGGAGTCAGACTGTTAACTGTCTCCGTATCAAGTCCATGGACATAAAAGAATTAAATTTTTTTCCAACCAAAGGTCACAATATGCTTTCATGGCATATTAGCCTGAAGAGACAACATATCCTTTACTTGCCACTTCAGGAAAGTAACATGCAGTATGTGTGAAAGCAAGGTAGAGAACATGGACAGGTATGTATATTTTCTTTAGATACCTCATGGCCTGGTGTCTTAACCTTAATGCTAAATATTTTTATCTGTTTTCTTTGTTGTGGTGCTGCTAAATTTTCAAGCCATATGTATCGCTGCACTAAAATGCCACAATTTTCTGCAATTCCATAGTTATATTAGTGGCCATATAGCTTAAGTTGCTAATACGGCTGAATTCTATAAATACATACAATAGTCAACACCTATGCAAATATTGCTGGTATAAGCCTGATCCTAAGAATTCTCCTTTCCAAAACATGAGTGGGCATATATTTATAATGTCCCTACTATATTTTTTGAGTTCTGACCTATGCCAAAGACTAGAATCTTTGAAAACAAATGCTGGTTTCATGATTTCTATACCTAGATTCCATGAATCCATCATAAATACTACAGTCTCACTTAGCTTAACAACAAATAATTCATCCAAACAAGTCATGGTAATTCAGCCTTAGCTCAGGTTGTAAAGAGAGTTACTAGGAATTTCTGTTAGAAAAAGCAGGTATTTTCACCTCTGGTAGATTACCAAAATGATACTTTAAAAATTTATGTAGCTAGTTTGGCTCTACTAGGAGGGGTGGATATAGAGACTAAAATTAATACCAACCCTGTGTACCAAAACTTTCTAGATTTTTTAAAGTGCAACAAATGTATCACTGAAGCACCTGAGAACTACTATGAAATCCCAGCAAAAAAGTAAGTCACTCAAGATGTAGTAATAAGAAAAACAGATACACACAGATTTTTTAAAGGATTTTTATACTATATTAAAAAATCATAAAATAAAAAAGGGATCAATCAACATATGTATCAGAAGTCCCTCCAACAGTCCCAGTATTCACCAGCTTTGCCCATCTCTGCTCAGAACACAGATCTTTTAGGATCATTGTCTTTGCTCAGTCCGCAGCTCTTTTAAAGATCTCGGAGATGACTCTAGTTCTTAAAATCAAACTTGTTCTGCCAAATCCAAGACCCTGAATTTATCCAAATTGTAGAAACATGCTTTTACCACCCGTCCACCAAAATACCTCCCATTCAGATCAACAACAGCTAAAAGGCAAAGAAAAAGATAGTTAGTTAATTCAAGTATAAGACAGCACCAAAATATTAACTTTAAACGATCTTAAATATAAACAGTAACAGCATAAACACTAAGGTCACAAATTCAACCTTTTAAATTCCTTAATATTTAGCTATACAATTTACCTTTAATTGCCGATTCAACTCTCTCAAACTCTAAAAATATTCGTACTGCTTCATCATCAGGGGCACCAGGAATCTGCAAGGGATATGAGGAGTTATTATTTAAAGTATATCACTTGTATCAGAGTAAATATCTAATTATCACCATATATGAACAAGTAGTAATCAAATACGAAGGAAAGAGTATCTGTCTTATGAGAGGTACCAGATTAGGTGCTAGGAGCTACACAAATCAGTAGTTGACATCATGGAGGCACTATGCCAGCTGGCGTGCGAACAAATAATGATGTCATCAAAAAACAAATATGAAATGCAAGTAGCAACTTTAGATAAAAGCCAGGCATGGTAGTGCATGCATATAATCCTAGCCTGGGCTACATAATGAGTTCAGGCCAGACCAAACTATATAGCAAAACCCCATCTCAAGAAAATGAGGTCCACAGTTTGGCTAGCTCTGTCCATCTTTCTACACCCTCTGTAATATGGCCCTATTCCACTTATGTAAGCATGTCTCCTACTGATCTGTGTGCCCAAGCATTCCATCTTTGTTGTCTTCATGTCTCATATTACTCAAATCTAAATACCACCCCTTCTTTCTTCTCAACAAATCCTACCTATTCACTTCAAAGCTCAGCCCCTATCTCATCCTGTGCACAAAGCCTTCTCTGTTTTTGCTGATACAATCTTCTTGACTCCTCCACTTACAACTGATATTTACTAGCAAATACAGCAACTGAACATTCTCTTGCTATTTCACATGTTCCTGTTTCTTCAAGTGAACACCCCTGAGAGCACAAAATATATTTCCTGTATAGTAAATGCTCGCATGCAGCATGGGGCATAGGGGAAGTACTAAATAAATACTTGTCAAATGAATGAAACTAAAGGCATGCCTAAGCAAAAGCCCTGAGTATGAGTTTTCAATCAAGGTCTTTAATCACTATCCTGATCCTCAATCACAAAACAAAGCATTCCTATTTCTTTGCCAAATAAAATCTGAAGTCATTCTGATTTTTATGATGAATAACAAATATTTGTCACTGTCTACAGCACGACAGCTCTAATTATAGCTTTCCCAATTTGTAGAAAATGTTTTGTAAACTGCCAATTACAACTTATAAACATCAAACGAAAACTCTTACTTCAAATATTACACATTTGCCAACTTTGCCATATTTTTCACATTCCTCCTTGGTTTCAATTTCCAAGTCTTCATCGACTTCTCCTGCACCGACCATGTTCTAAAAACAAAAAAAGTATTACATTTAATTTACAAAAATTTAACAGTTTTTATAGGATATTCTCCCATAATTGCAAATCTTAGTCCCAAATAACAATGAAAAATTCTGTTCCTGAATTACCAAAATTATCATGTCTTTAAACATACATTAAGCTTTGAAAAGTTAACATCTATGTAAGCACCAAAATGTAAAAACTAAGTGGAAGTTTAGTCATTTTTTTTCTTTTTTCTTTTTTTTTTATCAGTACCAAGGATCGAACTCATGACTGCCTGCTTACAAGGCAGGCGCTTATGCTGCTGAGCTAAATCCCCAGCCCCGAGTTTAGTCATTTTAATCATTTTAATAACTGCAATCTCAAACGTTACATTTAACAAAAACTTATAGAGCAAAAAGTTCACTTTTATGCAACCTACACACAAAGGCATTATTTGCGAAAACTATATTTTTTTAGTTTCTTTCACTTTTTTTTTTTTAAATTTTATTTAAAAGGAAAAAGAGAAAAAATAAAACAAAACAAAGCAGTGTAAGGGTACAAGTAATACAGTACAAAAAAAAAAAAAAAAAAAAAAACCAGTAAGAAATCACCAGTTAATAGATTATATATTATCATCTTAGAGATAGTTGCTCAAGGTTTCTTTCACTTTTATGACATTGGTAGGGTTTTGGGAAAGCACGTGGAGGTAGGGTAGGTAGAATGGGGTGACAGACAAAAATCAAGGTAAGCAGGTTTAGTTTTGCTTCTTACCCTCAGTAGGACCACTTTAGTAGGACATTTAAGTATTTCAGTTAATGGATTTGAATCCGACTTCTTTGATGCATCTGTATCAAGACATATCAGATGTATTAACAGAAATGACTTTGATTACAATGATGAATTTAACTGCAATAGCAGTCTATATCATTTAAATCCTAGAGTCACCTAAAAGCATCTGTACAAGCAGTCTGAATAAGAATATTGCATTATCTACAATAAAACCTTTGCTTTACATTGATACTTTGAAAATATTTTTTCGGTTTCTAGCTTTTACCATTACCTGCAGTTTCTTGTTCAATTCATTTCCTAAAGGGCTGATAAGAACACATGGATCACAACACTTACAGGTGACTCCTAACTTGATTTGATATAGTAGTCCAAGATCATCAGAGTATCAAGCAGTTTATTATCTAGTCACTAGTTGGTTGACTTCAGTTATCAGCACAAATTTAGGTAGGTAACTGATGCTTTTTGGTACTAACATTCAGGCTGAGTGCTGTTTGCTAAGCTGTGCTCTAATATGGATGCCTATAGAAGTTTTTTTTTTTTAATCTTAGGAAAAGGAATTAAGCTGACTCAAAACACAATTTCTCTGCCTAAAACTCAAATGAAAATAAAACATCAACTAAGTATTATCCACCAAAAACTACAAATCTCTGTCCATCTTTCTACACCCTTCCTTTTATACCTTTTACACACCTTTCAGAGAACAAGCTGTATTAGAAAACAATGTGTAAAGAAAAGAAAAATAAGAAAACACTAAGTACGATGAAAAAGCAGAACAAAAGTAGAGGAAAACCTATTGGAGATGCTGCAGATGTAGCAGATACAATCACTGATACAATGTATTTGCCTAATTCCTGTATGGTACAAAAGCAAATATTCTCTCATCATGTTAACCACAGTCTTTGCTTAACCAAAGTAGGTATGAAATTATTTTAAAGACTGTTTAAAAAGCCTTTTTATCCTCCTTACACAGGTCTTCATCTTTGTTCTAAAAAAATAAAGACAACCCTCACTAGTCGTGGCCCTGTGAAACAGAAGCAAGTGCCCCACAATGGGGAATTACCTTATGCTGCCTCTCTGGGGTGAAGGAGCGCTGCTTCCCAGTGAACTCACCTTGAGACTCACCCTTCTCGGTGGCATCACCCACAATGATCTTGCCACCCCGTTTGCTGGTCTTCTCCACTGACAGCGCGGTGCTCAGCCCCTGCTCGTGCTTCCCCAGACCCTGGCCTTCCCGGAAGCCATACTTCTGCATGATTTTATGTGCTACTGTGCCACTAGGAGGAGAATGGAAAAGGATCCTCACAGTTGATGTCATCAACTGTAACATTAAATTGCATTTCATATCACAGCAATCTCCTTCTGGAGAAAGAAAGTGTAGTAAGCTCATGGACAATAAACAATGGGCTTCAGATGGAAGCTGTGATGATGTTCACGATGAAAGAAATATGAACAGTTAATGACCACAACTCATGATACCCCAAGACTGCCTCTGAGGGGAACGTTAATTTCTCTAATAGTATCTTCCCAGTACTCGTGACAAGAAGAATTAGGACTTCTTTTGTGCTCTTGGATCTGGACTGCCACATGGTTTAAGACCACAGTTATTACAAAACAGTGGCTTATCAAAAAATGTGCATGAAATTTAGATAATAAAATGATTGTTTTTACTTTTTTTGGAAATAAAAGTCTCCCTGTATACTTCAGGTTGGCCTCAAACTTATGACAATCCTCTTGCTCAGTCTCTTTGAGTGCTGGGATTGCTGGCTTGCACCTAGATGAATTTACAGTAGTAACGGAAATTCACTATATTTGCACTATCAAATACAACTGCCATTGGTTACTGAGCACTTCAAATAAGGCTAGTGTGACTCAGGAACTAAAGTTTAAATTTCAAACTACTTTGAGAGCTTCCTGTGGTTAGTAGGTAGCATAAAAAACTAACCAGGTTTCAGATGGACAAGACAATCAGAAACTCAAATCACTTCTCATGTGCTTGATGCCCAGCCATCTACTCCAAATTTGACTAGCCACCTCCCAAAGGGCTCTGAGAACCAAAGCAGATGTAAACAGATGAGGCAGTCAGTACAATTACCATGCTGGACTGTCTCACTAGCAGCATTTCTACTATGGCAGCATCCTGTTAACACATAACAAAGATCTTAGTGTGACACCCCTTCATTTGATAGCCTCTTCACAACATCAAAGTGAATAAAAAAAATTTTTTGTAACCAAAATGCAGGCCAACTCAAGCAAAGTTTAAAACAAAATAGTAGTATTTTATCTGTACGCAAACCTTAAAAATTACTTTAATGCATCAGCAAACAGATGTCTAATTATAGTTACAATGACCAGCAGTTTTTGTTTTGTTTTGTAGTCCTGGGGCTTGAACCCAGGCCCTCAGTGCACAGTGCTCTCTAAGCTGTATCTCTTGCTCAGATCAACTTTTAAAATCAAAAGTATACAGCTATGACCTTAAGATAAATGATCCAGATTACTGATCCTTTCTAAGTAATCTCAACCAGTTCTTAATTCATATGAGCTACATTACTGTTATGTATAAATAATGATCAGAAACTTTCTATCTAGAGAAATAAAATTTAACATCTACATCAGTCAAAACTTGTAATGATAAGTTGTTTTGCATAAAACTGTATTATTTTGGAACACATTCCACATGAACCCAACACTAATACTTGAGCAGGACATTGTATGATTGGGTATAGCAGGTATATCCTTATAAGCCCCAATGAGCATCTTTTTAAAGAGCTATAATACTCTGCACTGTTTCTTATACTTTTTACATTTTCTAAAACAAGAACATTTAAATTATTACCCCATGTTAGCGAGGAAGGAGTTGCTAGGCCCAGTTGGAGATCTTGGCCTATCCTGTTCCTCATATACTGGGGGAGGAATAGCAGCTTTGGAAGACTGTGATCTAGGTCTTGAGTCCTCTTCATAAGGAAAATCTCGGGGTACTATCAGGGAAAAATATAATATATAATGTAATATATAATATATGTCACACATAATAAACATTCAAAGTTGCATTTATTTAAATTACTTATCTTGATTTAATCTACATTTTCATTTTGTAAGAAAAATCAAACCAATTTGACAGCCTCTACATGACTTTAAATCAAAAACAGAACACTACTTTCTAACTTTGCTCCTACTGCTCATATCTCCACAAACGTCCTTTTGACATCTTACTGATGTTATCCTTTAAAGTTCTTAAATGATAATTCTTGCCAAATCATTAAAATTTTCTGTATGTCCCAAGATTTTCTGTGTATCTCATTTGATTCCCATGGCAACTGTGCACCTGTTTTAAGACTTCAACTTACTATCCCTCTATGCTCAGAGACAATGAGGATCTATGATGTCAGGGATCATATATTAGAACCACCAGTTTAAATACCACATGGCTTCTCTTATATGAGAAACTCAATATAAACTAAGAGTAAAATACAACATGGATGGTAGAAAAAAAGTGGAGTGGGGAGGATAAGAGGAAAATGCAGCCGGGAAAGAAGGGAGTGGAAAGGGATGCAGAAAGAATTAAGATATGCCATATGCATGTACCAGCTCCTCACAATGAATGTAACTATTATGTACTGTAAACGTAACACATTTTTCAAAATTAAAAGGTTGAGATGGGAAAAAAAACTATTAATAGTAAAATAGATATTAATATTAATGAATACTATGGATGATACTTTATGACAGCACAGGCATTGCCCAGCCCACAGAATGGGAATATCATTTAGACAATGATATATCAAATCCCATTCCCAACCTCCAAATTCTAAGACAACTCAGTGGGAAAAGCAGCAGTAAATAGGGACACTTGAGCAAGGTTCTGAAATGGACATACATGTGTTTTGAAACAAAAATTAATGGGCAATTGCCAAGAAGCACACCTAAAGCTCAGCGTGGGGGTACTCAGGAACAAAAGAAAGCAATAGAAAAACTGCTAAAGAGGCAAAATGTGGAAAAACTAGAGCAAAACAATGGAACCTATGGGTTGGATGAAGTATCTTCTCACTGGTACAAATGAAACATTCCTGATTAACATAATTAAGAACATAATACCCTCCCATAAAGAATAAGACTATGAACAAAAAGAGGGTACTAATGAAGCTGCAAAAGCCAGGACTAGAAAGACATGAACCTCAAGAAGCAGAGAAACTAGCCGTATAAGCACAGCTTGGTGGGCAACTCTCTGCCAGGAAAGTATAGTACTTGGAACAAGTGTGAGCCACAACCCAGCAGGCACTGGGTCCATCGCACTGGGAATGGGGTGCATCAGCATAGAGGTGAGCAGGCAGGAAAGACACCTGACAGTGGCTTTCCCCCTAGAGGTCCTTGTTTGTAAGGTGGCTGATGGTGACCAGCACATAATGACCTCTCGATTCTTTGCAGAAACAAGTATAAAGAAACTTGCTCTGAAACAAGTCTTGCCAAGTGTGTGCTCCTTTACCAGTGTAGTATACACCCATGTTGTTTTTATCCTGTTTTGTGTGCAAGTTAGTTTCAAAATAAATCTAGAATTTAAAGCTTTCAAATTGTTAAAACTAGTCCCAGTTTTTTGATGTGCTACAATTTGTTCATTTCTCGAATTAATAAAATACTCATTAATTTTAAAAAAAGGGAAAACTAATCAAGGAAGACACTGCCTCCTTGTGGACGATCATGAGGACAACAGGCTCTAAGTCTAGGAAAAAGCTGCAAATGGGTTATTTTTCGTAATTTCAAATGAAATTTGTAAGAAACACAGAATCTAATGGGGGAAAAAAAATCATATTGTTTGAAAAAACCACTATAGCCTTAGAGCACAAATCCCAAGGACAATGTTATAAGCTTTTCTCTCTAAACTCAAAAATCCCAAGAATTCAAATTTAGATCCCCCACAATCGGACTAGAAATTTGTGTCACAGCTGAGTGTGATGGTGCACACCTGTAATCCCAGACACTCAAGAGGGCTAAAGCAGGAGGATCACAAAATCAAAGTCAACTTGGTCAACCTGGTGAGAAATGTCTTAAAATATATAATAAATTAGGACTGTAGCTCAGTGATATAATGTCCCTAGGTTCAATTCCTAAGTACTAGAACAAAAGGAGGAAACAACCAGATTTACATACATTCTTTGTCTTTCTCTACAAGAGAAGTAGGTGGCGCGATAGCAGCTCCTCCCATACCTGCAAAAACCATAAATACAGTGATCAAAGGAGGAAAAACATTTTCAGGAGCCAGAGTTTATAGCACATACCATGTGCTGTATCACTACCCACTACACATACCTAGAAAAAAAAGACAGAGAAATGGTAAAGTCCTACCATTGCTCCTACTGAGCAATTAAATATCTATAATTAGGATTAAAAATATAGAAAACTGGTATCATCCAGACAGAAAAAAGTAAGTATTTTCATACAGGGCATTCAAATGCCCAAAATGCAATTACCAAATGAATTTTAAAGCAACAGTACATAACATGGAAAAGTATTGGCTACTTAAAAGAGAATTAAGCTATTTACTCAGAGTATGTTACCCATCAGGCACCTGTACATGACTGACCTCACATAAACCTGTGGAGTAGGTATTATTCTTCTCACTTTACATATAAGAAAATGATAGGAATGAACTTGTAGAAGTACAGGAAGTGTAGTTCTCTATGATGTCAAAGCTATCTCTCACCACGTAACATGCTCCTTTGCCAAGGTGCAAACCAATGAACTAAACACTGATTTTAAATATGAGTCCAGGCTCCTGAAAACCTATTAGGTGTTGTCATTATTTCTGCTCATGTTTTCTGGGTGGAAAATATGAACAAAAACCAACAGGGAAGAGGGACATTTCCTTTTTGTTACCTGGCAACTGGAAGAACAACATGAGCAGATTACAAATTTTGCATTAGATACAAACCCTAACATACAGATTATGCTTCAACCACCGATGAAATAAGCAAATAAGTAACATGTAAGTTAAAGCCAACATAGATGAATGACACAAGAATGTGAAGAATATGAACCTGAATAAAACCTTATTTTTGTTTAGAAATATTTCCTACAATCATTTTAAAAACTCTTTTCACTAAGACCATAGGGCTTATGGACTTCTGAAGAGTAAATCTAGTCCAGTAAGTTCAATATAAAAAATTCAGAATAGTTACTGGAAATGTGCTATTCACCAGCTTAGAGTATGAACATCAATCTGTTGGCAACAATACAGTAGTCCCCCTTATTCACTGGGCATATGTTCCAAGACAAACACAACGTATACAACCCATTCTAGAAAAGGCCGAACAGAAATAGAATTGGACTTACAAGTAGAAGGCAAGTATGACTGCTGCAGGTAAGAAAACGTGGAGAGATTTTATGCTATTTTCAAAGTAGACAATAAAGAAAAGTGTAGAGCTCAAAGGAGAATATATGTGAAAACACAACGTAAACCAAAGCTGGTATGCAAATATGGACTTGTGAGAAAAAGTTTTTTATTTGTTTTTATTGTTTTTTTAAATTTTTTTTTTATTGAGAAAAAACTTATCTCAATCAATGTCAAACAAACTATTCATCAACTTGAATACACAAAGCAAGCAGTGGGATTGTGACATGCTTAAAACTTAGTATTTATGTTCAGGCCTTACTTCTTTTTCTCCTCTCTCGCTCATAATCTTCATCTTCATCAGAATCTGGATCTGGTCGCCTTGAAAACCCACTAGCTTCATGTCTGTCTTTACGCCTCCTGTAACAATGAAGGAAATGAATGTTCATCAGAGATGAATTAATTTAGAGATAGGAAACTGAGATGTCATCTTGATTTCCTCTTGGCTAGAAAATATACACATCTTTCTTCACAATACACTATTCATTTGTGTGGGGGAGTAATGGGTAGACACAACTATCCTTCCCCCACCCAAATGAATAGTGATTGAAGACTAACGTAGAAAAAAAAGGTAGAAAAGTGAGAAAAACTCAAAAGACAATAATTGGGTACATAGTATAACTCTTAAGATAAAAGTTTTCTTGATATTTAACTTCAATTCTCTAGGGTACACACTCATGAAATGATTAAACAAGTGAGAAACAGTATATTTAATGCACATTAAAGTTTTAATATTAAATAGTTTTAAAAAGAAGAAATACAAATAAATCCTAGTACATACACTTTTCAAAAACATATAGAAAATTCCGTCTGGCTCAAAAACAGTAAAGAGTAACTAACACTTAAGTATATTAAGTAGTGGTGATATCAACATTAGGTTTCTAAGGTATTTTTTTTTTAAAGAACTTGCCCTAAATTTATACTTTAAATTTTCAGAGTCTATAAAGTAATTTGCTCAAGTTGTTGTCATGGTAAGATGCCACAACTATAAATTCTTAAAAACAACTAATTCTTCCTGTTGACCACTCTGATCAAGTATAAGGAACGTCAGCCCTACAAGTAGCAGCACCAACTCAAGTTGTTCACTGTTTAATATAGGATTCTAATGAACATTTCAACTACAAAATGTCCTCAAATATACAGGAAGCCTTACTTTTCTCTTTCTTCTATTTCCTTCTGTCTCTCCAATTCCCGCTGTCTCTGTCGTTCCTCTCTCTGGCGCTTCACTACTTTTTCATAGTCATTAGGAAACATAGGATCATATTCGTCAGCTAGAGGAATCAGAACTTCGCCTGCAGAAAACCCACTGGGAACAGGGTCCTGAGGACAAGAAAAACATCAATGTTGTAACATCTTCATTATCTCAAATTTACTCAGAGGATTACAGACAATGAAATAAAGGAGACCCTGAAGATCAACTACTCTCCCCTCTCCATTTTATGATGAAGAAATACATGGCTAAGGAGGCTTCACCTAGCCAAGTGGCAAAACCCTGACACTCTCTTCGTTTAGGACTATTTTTAACACTCAATGGCATTTACCTCGATCTCCTACATAAGATACCACCTAAAATGTAAGGCACCACCACTTTGAAGTAACAAAGTTAGTTACAGAAAACACTAAGTAAGTTTAAAAATCAGGAACAAAATTCTTTTTTATTTTTGTCTTTTTGAGACAGAGTCTCGCTATGGGGTTTAGCTGACCTTGGGCACACTTTATAGCCCAACCTTGTCTCAAACTTGCAATGATACACCTGCCTTGAGCTCCCAAGTGCTGGGATTACAGGAGTGCACCACCACACCCGGCTTTTGTTGTTATTGTTGTTGTTGGGAACAACAAAATTCTTACATTCATTATTTATGTGTACTTTTACATTCTTACTATACAGATATAACCATGTATTACAATTTTAGAGCACATTCTCTTTGTTCTCTCTAAATCTGGAACACACATTTGATCCCTGTAGGCTGCAATTCAGGTACTGAGCTTCAGATAGGGGAGCTATAATTCTCCTCCCAGTACCAAAATTTTTTAAGGTTCACTAAGATTAGGGTTAGTAACACTTTGTATTCCCTGGAAATGCAGAATATTCTTTGAGGGAAAATAAAACAACAACAACAACAACAACAACAAAAACTCACACACAAAAAAGGTAACCTTGACAAAGAAATTAGAAAAACAAAGGGGAGGCACAGCGTGGCTGACTATAGATTAGCAGCATGGAGTCAAGTGACTTTGTGAGCCCTGACCCAACTGTCCAAAGCCTCCATGCTTCCTTTTGTTAGATTTCTTAGCATAACTCTTCTTAGTATCTGTGAAAATAAGATTCACTGGTTTACATAGATTGCATTGAAAAAACACAGGTTAGATCAGTGACTTTGAGCACTCAGTCCACACCTCTTTGAGGAAGTACACCTCCTAGTAATATCAAAGGCAAGAAAATTATTTGTAAAATGTTTTGTAACAGATCACAAAACTGGTCTGAGCAAAATAACTTATGTTCAGTATCAACAGATCTAAATCTAGTGATCTGTTTGGTTTGACATTATGGATTATAAAATGAATGCTTCATTTCTTTACGATTAAAAATCAGGAATCTCTATGAGCTAATGAATAAAAGCAACTATGAAAATATACTAACTATAATCACCTCCCCTCCCAGGCTCTTTCACAAGAAAGTTTGTTTAATGTAGAGTTTTCAAAGGGTACTTACAAATTTATACTCAAAAGACATTTTCAAAACACAACATTGCCTGAATGATATTTCTTTTCAGTAAGACTAGAAGTAAAACAGACTCTTAAGAAAAAATTTGATTTGTTTTGTTTTTGTTTGGAGATCAAACTCATGACCCTACCCTTGCCAAGCAGGCACTTATATCACTGAGATAAACCCAAGCTTACTTTAAAATCTGAAAGCAAACAACTTTTACCATATATATAATGTTAAGCTTAACAATGAAGCCTATTTTTCTAAATGCTGTAAATAATAAAGTAGTTTGTTCAATTAAAAGCTAACACCTCAATATTGGAAGAGTGAGGTACAATTACAACACTTAAATTGGTAGATGGTGATATTTACTTCTGGAAACTAGTTGTCACTAAAACAAATTTGCCATAAAAATGACTGATACCCATCCCCTTTTTCTGAGATAGTCTTGCTTAGTAATTCAGGCTGTCCTTAAACTATGTAGCCCAGGCTGGCCTCAAACTCAAAGCAATTCTCCTGGTTTAGCCTCCAAAGTGCTGGGATTATAGGCCTGTACCACCATTCCTGGGTCAAACATGACTGATTTCTTAATGCCACCTCAGGAAATCTATCCTAAGAAAGTAACTCTTAAACATATACAAATGCCCATGTATAAACAATCATTACAGTGATGGCAATGAAAGATCCTAGATAGTTGCAAAGTTAGGGAAAACTCACGTAAATTATGATACATTTACTTGATTAGACTAGTTTATTATTAAAATACTTAGTGACTAAAAGGAGAAAACAATATTATAGATGCTAGAATCAACATACTATGATGATCCACTTTTTGATTAGTTGTACTGTGAAAAAGATAGGAAACTTAAAGGAAAAAAACATAAAGTGACTGAAAATCAGCCAAACACACTTCCAATATGCGATAACCTTTCTTCTTGAGGGTCTACTGATCCTCAAGAGCAGCAACAGCTCTTGTGGTCAGAAAAGCTCAAAAGCTAACTGTAGCTTGCCCCGAAAAGAAGTGAGAAGCATGCAGAATCAAAGCCTGATGATGCCCAAGCCAAGAAACAAAGGGCCCTGCAGCTGAGACTGTTTCTCAGTCTCACGGGGGAGCAGGTTGGGCAGCTTCCACAAGAGTAGATACACACACCACAGCAAGTGTACCATGCTAAGAAACACAACAATAACAGTATTCCCTTGGTCATTTGTCATCAACCAATTTGTACAATACATGGCGTTTTTTACTAGTTATAGTAAAAATGCCATTTGTAGAAGGGTAAAGAGTGGGTTCAATTTTAATCAGTTTATATTAAATTTACTTGCACCACATATTGTCTAATTTTAAGTATGATTCTAAGTTACCCTTTTACAGATCTTCCTCACCTTCAGTAACCCAGCTCATACAGAATGATGTCTGTTTCCTGTTTTTAAATTTATATAAAGTCACTGGGATGACAAAGGCTTTTAAGAGTGGTAGAAAATTTTTAGCCCTTCATTTTAATCTACAACAATAAGCACTAAAATTGTTTATGACTGAAATTATAGTACATACATGCATACAAGGTGATAGTGATTCCATTATAATGATTATACAATCCCTTATTTTTTGACACAGATAGTTACAATATATTAAGTAAAAAAGGGAAGTAAATGAACAGAAAGTAGAGTTGTCATAGAACAAAAAGCTATTTGAAAATACAGTGATAACTTTTGGAGGACAGGACTAAAAAGTTTTACACATTACTAGTTTCTGACTTTTCTATAAAGAACTAATCTAAATAGATGTTTTACAACTTAAGACAAAAGTAAAATTAAGTTGGAAATAACTGAATATATTTCAAAGGTTTTACTAAGGGGAGGACCTGTTAAGTGTGATATACACATAGAATACACAGTATAGAAAGCAGGAACATGTTATCAAGGTCCTAGCAACTATGAGACTTACCTTCAGGCCTGCTGCAACATGTGGTGGTGTGTCTACAATCTGCCGGTCGTCTCCAGAGCCACCTCGCTTTAAGTCAATGACTGGAGCAAGGACGGTACTTTGTTTTGTCCTTTGGCTCTGAATCAACAAAAACAAAAAAAACAAGTGCCAAGTTTCAAGCTGAAATCCATACTAGTCTTTCTCACCAGGCATGGTGATGCACACCTGTAATCCCAGTACTCAGGAGGCTGAGGCAGGAGGACTGCTGAGAGTTCAAGGTCAGCCGTGGCTACATTGTGTTCAAGTCCAGCCTGAACTGCAAGGCAAAACTGTCTCAAAAAGACAAAAACACTCAAACTGCAGCCTTTTAATCCAACTATTGCTATATTCATACACTTTCTTTTAGTCTTTTTACCTTTTTTTTTTTTTTTGTGCCAAGGATCAAACTTACAACCTCACACTTGCCAGGCAGGCACTTAGGCCACTGAGCTAAATCCCCAGTTCCCCTTTAGTCATTTTGAAAACCACCCATTTGTCTGAAAAATTGGTCATTATTACTTAAATTTACATGAGCGGTAATATATGAAAAAGCTCTACATTGGGTTTTCCCTTTGACTATGGAACGGCACTTTAACTTACGTGCAAAATAAAGTTACGTGAAACCTTGAAAGATTTTAAATATTTAAAATAAAAATAAAAAATACTTGTTTTGCTGAATTTCCTTTAATCTGGGATAACTGCTTCAAAAAAAAAATTCTGCCTCTTTTAAAAAGACAAAAAGAAAAAAAATAAAACACAAATCAACCTAACACTCCCACACAAAATTTTAAAATGCTGCTGCTTTAAATGTGAGTATCCACCCACGCCATGCTGGGACTTGGAGCACTGAGAAACCAAGCAACCCTTCCACCCTGGTGAACAGCTGTGAGCATGGCAGGCTACAGCAGCCCAGGAAGGGAGCCACTGGTGTTTAATGGGACCCGTGCCATGCTGGAACCTGGAGGCCGAGAAATCAAGCAATCTTTCCTCACTGCCTGTTTTGTTGAACTTCAATATGCATGAAAGTATGTACAGCTATTTTGATGAGAACAAGAGACTATACGACAGCCATTAGTGACGTCCCTATTGTCTGGTTTTTGAAGACATAAAACGCCTTCGTTATTCAGTTCGGATCAGTTTTATACATGTTGTTTTGTATGAAATCTCTGTATGTGAAGACATGGACAACTACTTGGAAGAAAACAAGAGACAATATGATAGACAGTGAAGATCTCAGGTCGTCTAGCTTTGAAATTTATCTCTTACATTGCTTTCTTATGTCCTATTTTGTTCTGTTTTGTTGCGTTTAATTTTACCCCCTTTAAAATAAAGATAAAAAATTTTTTTTAAAAAATGTGAGTATCCTAAGCCAATAAAGACCTTCTATAATACTGACCATTAAATGTAAGCACTTCAAGGTATCTAGTGATGTAATAATAAAGAAAAAATAAGAACCTAAATTGCTTATCATAGAAAATTTCAAACAAAACATTAAAAGAACAGATTAACAAATTCTTTAAGTCACTAGTACCCAATTTAACAATTACCAACTCAATGTTAGTTTTGTTTCCTGTATAGCCCTACCTCTTCTGGCCAAGACTGGATTATTTTGAAATAAATTCCCATAAATCACTTACCAGTAAATATTTCAATAAATATATCCAAAGCAGTTTTCTCAACCTTTCCACATTATCTCCCTCTACAAAGGAGCCTTTTAATACAAACCTTCCTTATGAAATAGACACTTAAAATAATTCACGAAAGAATAGCACTGTATATCTCTTTACATAGGATATTTATGTCTGCTATGGCCATTAAAAAAAAAAAAAACAAACCCAAGATCATTTCATCCCCTGAAGATCACTATTAGCTCCATTAGGACCTAGCTTGCAGTAAGGATGCACGGTCTATCTAAAACTCAGGGACCCTAAAACAATAAGCAAACCATACTAATATTTTCATTCCTAAAAACATTGCATAGTGACATTTCAGTAACAAATATCTAGCCAACTGCTGTTTTATTTTGTTGTGGATGCTAGGCAGAGGCTCTATCACTGACTTATAGCTCCAGTTCGACAACTATGCTTTTCATATTTACCTAAATGATTCCAAGGATATTCCCAATCCCAACACGTACAGGACAGGAACAAAAGCAATCCTTACCTAGACTATATATATCTAACACACTGATAACCAATCTAAGGCATTAATGATGCATACAAAGCCAAGTTGCTCTGTAGAGCTTCTGCTAAACCATCTACAACAAACCACCAGAAATGCCACTAAAAACATACACTCTGGGAGCCCCAGCCTAAAATTCACCACAGCTATTAATAAGTTTTCTGTCAAGCTAAGACATTCTGAAGTTTGAAAACCAGTGTCATTGCTGGAAGGAGACTACTGCTTTTCTTCATTCCAGGAAAGATTTCTATTCCCAAGAACTAAGAAAAGCAATGATCTTAAACTTTTATTCTGTCTCCCATATGAATGCTTCATATTATTCATCTAGTAAAAAAGCAGAATGGTAAGCTAAATCCAAACTATCTGTAAGCCTAACAGGGAGATTGCCCTGAACACGTCTATGCTCGCTCTGGGCTTGTCCTTACCTTTGCCTGAGTGAGAGCTGCCTTCTTCACCTGAAGCTGAGACTGCAGAAGCTTAAAGTTTTTGGACCAGCCTTCTGTTTTTGAGTCACTGGTTTCCACTCCCAGATCATCATACAAAGACATCTTCTTTTTGGTTTAATGCTGAAAGGAAAAGTGGGGTGGGAATTAAAGAATGCATTATACAATACAGACTTTGATCTGTGTGTTAAAATAATCTAGTATTACAAAATTTTAGAGATGAAAGTTCCACAACCCTTTAGCAACAGAGGACAAGATTCCTCATTACCAATGTAGAGCTCTTTCTAATACATAAAGCTATATATTTGGTTTTACATCTCCAGTTTTTGGCATAGAGTAGGCATTTAATACACATTATTAAAATAATAATCAAATAAACAGTCTGTTGGTCAACAGTAAAACTAAGGCATTGTCATAGGTTCCACTAGAAAGTTAAAAACAGGCAAAAGGTCCTGTAGATGAATGGTGGGGATGACTGCATAGTGTGTACATACACTTACAGTTAAAACATTAAATTTTATGTCACATACACATTTCAAGTTAAAAAAATACACTTTATGTTTAAAAAAAAAAAAGGCAATTAAAGCCTGGGGAAACACCATCAACATCAGTGTATCTAATTAGAAGAATCAAGTCCGACCGAAATACATCCATAAATTTTAGGGTTAAAAAAAAATCAAAATAATACAGAAGATTTCTACCTCCAAAAGAATTATCAGTATTCACCAAACTCAATATTTATCAAAAATGCCACTGATGAATTAATGAGGTTTTATGAAATCATACTTCTGATTTCATTTCTAAATTAAAGATAGCTTGTTGACAATTTCTTTGGATTTGTCTTGCTTTGTAAACTGTAGGATATCAAATGCAGTAAAAGCATATTCATTTAAAGTTCCAGGTTTCTACCTCAAACCTTCAAATATTCTGAATTTATTAAAAACTGATATCATCATCAGCATCTGCCTACTTTTTGTAATACAGAGCTTATAAAATCAAATCTCTGCACCACAGTAAATACAGAAGAGCATTATTTTTCTCATTTTCACTGAATTTTAAGTTTACAGAACTGGATTAATCCTAGTAAGAACATACTTGCTACCAGCCCACACACATATGGCCTGCTTTTCTTTAACTATTAAACTATTAAACACTACAAGTGCTTGAGAATTTACCATTCAAAACAGAAGACAGGATATGTACAAGAAACCACATTCAAACATGTAGTTCCCCAACTTATTCATATAATGGGTGATCAAAATATACAGTGAATGTTTTAAAAAAAGATACATTGCCATTAATTTACTTTAAAATACCTCCCCCTTCAAAAACATTTATCCTTCCAATCTTGCCGCTTTCTAAAGCAGTTCTCCAAGCCCTCTTTCATAAATACTAGGTATGTTCAGGAAGGCTCCTGATAAGTGCCATCCATCAGAGAGGCAGTCTCATAAAAACATCAGTATGTTCTCATCTACCTATTCACTGAATCTGGCACTGTGTGACTTCTGTCTCTTCTTCAAATTCAAAATAACCACAAAAAAAATCAATGTTTTCAATTGATTCATCGAGACATAGAGGCAGCCACAAAAGCACAACTACAGACACAAAAGAGGACTTCCAGAACAGCTTCAGAAAGCCACAAGAATGATGAGTATGTTCAAATTGAGAAGGAGTAATTTGAGGATTAATGCCAATGTATCATCTATAATTTTTAAAAAACTTAAACATATATCACATTCAATGACAACTTACAATTTTTCCAGAATACTGTTCCCATTAGTTCCTTGCTTTCTTTTTATATAATTCTATTTATATAAGTTCAGTGTATCTATCTTTTTAAAAGTGTGTATTTCTATTTTAGTTTATTTAGTTATTTTAGTTATTTGAAATCAGTTTATTCATTAATTCTTTCCACTGAAACCACTGAAAGGTAGCAAGTGCCAAAACCCTGACTTAACCTAATAATGTTGCATTATTATAAACAACATGGTACATTTATTTCATGAAGTCTGCTGCCAGGTTAAAAAAAAAAAGCAGGGGGAAGCAGCACTTCACATTTGGGCCAAGAACTTGTTATCCTGGCTTTTCCTAACAACAGCCTTTTCTTTTACTTGCTTATTCCTCCACCTGGCCCAAGCTTCCCCTGCAGAGACAGTTTCTCCCCTACTCTTCACTTTTACTTTCTCAAATAAACCTGGCCACTGCTATTTAAAAAAAAAAAGTATACATCCATAAGAACCAGGCTCAAATGTAAACAGTTGGTTTTTATAACTTCTTTAAAGTATTTATTATTTAGTTCTTTTTTTATAAGCACCAACCTTTCATCAACCCACCTGTCATATGGGCTAGATTTTTTAAAGCAGTACAATAAACATGATTCTATCAGAATTAAACTGACTTTTCAAGATATCCACCTAAGCTAGAAAGCATTTTTAAAACATGCTCACCTGGCTGGAAAAAGAACATGAAAAAAATCCAAAAGGCTATCACCCACTTATTTTTTTAAATGTGTCTTTGAAGCCCTTAGGGATTACTATCTCCATATAAAAACTATTCCCAGTTACTATCCCCTGAACATATCTGCTTTTAACAACACAGCTACTTCCACAGGTTATGCTGCCTAGTGGCTTATGTATCTGTCTTTTACTATACTGTAAGTCCCTCAAAGGTGGAGGATTCCTGTCTTCATTTTTATGTTTCAAGCTTATCACCTTGCTTAGAACATTGTAAGCACTCTGTAAATGTTCCAAATGTGTTACCTAATGGATGAAAAATGACCATGCTTCTATTTAAAACACCTAACATGTCAATGAAACAACGGTTGTACACTCTTAGACATAGCTTTAAACTGGATTTCTTTTCATCTGGTTTGTTTTAATTACCTTCCTATTTTTCCCTAAACATGAATTTTTCCGACTTCTTTCCAGCAGGAAACACACTCTCAAATCTTTCACAAAACTATTTAAGCAAGATTGTTCATCATACGCCTAAGTTACCTGTAATTCTAGAGGACTCTGTAATACAGTTCTGCAGATCTGCTTTTTAAGGACATATATTATGGTAAGTGGAACTTGACATTAAGGGTGGTAAAAACCTGTATCTCAGTATTTATTTATTGATTGATTGTCTTTTTTGAGACAGGGTCTTGTTATGCAGTTCAGGTTGTCCTTGAGCTCACTTTGTAGCCTAGGCTGATCTTAAACTTGCAATGATCTTTTTGCCTCAGTCTCCCAAGTGCTGGGATTACAGATGTGTGCCACTCTGCCTGGCTTTGTATATCATAATTTATAATAGAAAAACTGCCACCACTATAAAACCAATGAGTAAGGTTTGAGTTTTGAATGCTTTAAGACACAGACTGGATAAGAAGAAATCTTTGTTTTTTATCACTAAATACATATCCAAGAATAAAACAAAAAGTTGCCTCACGGAATCCTGATGAATATGACAAGCATACACAGAAGAAAATCTTGGGCGGCTGAGGCAGGAGGACTGCTTTGAGTTCGAGGCCAGCTTTCTGTATAGCAAGACACTGTCTCAAAAAGACCAAAAAAAAAAAAAAAAAAAAAAAAAAAAGAATATGAAAGGAAATAGGAAGTGTAAGTTTACTTGATCTGCACAAAATATAAAATTATACTAGGCATTTGCCATTAGGATTTACAATGACTATTTCAAGAATTTTAAAACTTCTTCCTATAGCTCCAATTCTGTAACCTTTGTCACATTTTCCAACCACTCTCACTGTCTACCAAAATACCACAGGCAGGACTACTGCAAAATCTACTACAGTCAAGGGAACTTAGGTGTATGACACAACAGCTCTTTCTATTTACTATTACAAAAAGGTTTGAGGAACTGCCAAACTAGGGTCATCTGTTTCCTGATGAAAGATCTCAAAAGTTCCTGTGCAGGGAAAAATAGAGATAATTAGTGTACAATTCTCTCAAAACTTTTCCTTAAGGGTGATCTTTGGTTCCATAGAACTCCACCTTTGCAACTGCTCTTCCTCATTAATGCTTCTTTCACAACTTGTTTTATTTCTCTCAATCTACTCTCTCTGTTATATGCAGCACACCATTTAGCAAACAATAAAAATTAACATCATCAGTTTAGGTCATTAGTTTCTTACCTCATAACTCCAAAAACCTATTATATTCAAAATGTCTGTAGCTACCTTATCCACTAAAAATGTGAGGAATGAGCTGCATCCTTTAAATAAATTCACCTGTTATACAAAACAGTCCTCATCTACCCGTTTGAGTATATGCAGAATTTTGCCCTTATTTGAGAAATTCTATTCTCCATCCATGTTTAGTTCCAACAGTGAACACACACCTTCAACTAGATTTCATTTCCGACCTCGATGTACAGTACTTCCATGAACCCTGCCACTTCTGGAGATATACCCTCCTTAAATCTCTCCTGTCTTACCTGCACTTTCCAGAAACTACTGCGGTTATTTCTGCTACTTTCCACTTACATTTGCACAGATACAAAGAACGTTTTCCCCACCTTGCACTTACAAAATACTTTCAAGTCTCAGACAGTGTATCTCCTCTTTGAGGCCTTTCAGATCTCATGCTGGCCTCTTGCACCATCTGAGGCCTGAGTTCTCCAGCCTGTTCTCAGACACCAAACTAAAGGGGGAAACCAGAAACTCACTCAATCTGCAATCTCTGTTGCTAACATACTGTCCTGCCAAAACAGGCCTCAAAACTGTTTACGGACTGCACGTGAGCGCTGAACCACCGCTTTACACGGTAAGGACTGAGGCAAAGCAGGATCACGACTATAGCTGTTCAGGTGAGATCCTGCTTTTGCGAGATGCCAACATTTGTAACCCTTAGTTATGCGGCCCCAAAAGGAAAAAGCTTTTTCCTCTCCATTGGCTGAGCCCCCAAGTGTGGTACCAAGAGGAAATACACTCCGGGTTAGTAGAGTCTACAGACTGAGCAACTGCGTCAAGACTAACAGCGAAAAGAAGAAAGGCACATCCGTCAGTTTCAATAAGATAGAACACAGACCGGAGGAAAAGGAAAGGCGAAGACTGCCCTAGGAAGCTGGGGTTAAGGGAGGACGCGACGACCCTGGAAGTTAAAACTGAGCCTGAGGTTGAGATCCGGACAGAGCGCTCAGCGTGAGGGGCCCCGGCACAGGCAGACACCGCAGGCAGCTCGGGCTGCCCGACCAGGATATCCCCTGCCCTGGCGGCGAGGCCTAAAGCCGCGGCCTCGCGTCCGGCGCGGCCGGGAAGGCCCCCCCACCCGGCCCCGCTCCCGCTCCCCGTCAGGCCACCCACTGGAGCCGCCAGAGTGCGACTTACCCGGCCCACTGGGCCGACTCTACCCATGGGCCACGGTGGCGGGTAGCGCGGAGCCCAGCCGCACTCTGCTAAAGGCCCCCAGACCACGGGAGTCAGCGGTGGCGCCCACGCTCGCCGAGTCCACAGGGCGCTCCACAGCGCAGGGTGAGGGAGCGCGGGCCACCGGGTGAGCGCGTCTGCGCCTGCGTTTGCGCCTGCGCTTACGCCCCGTACGGCCTGCCGCTCTGCCTTGCTGCACTGCCATCGCCGCACTGTCTCCTACCGGCCGGAGGACTACACTGCATGCTCCCTTTCGCCAACATTCTCTTCTTCCACCAAGAGGTGTCGCGGTGGAACCAGTTTCGAAATTTTGTAAGGTTTGTAAAGCGTGGCAGTGACCCCAGGTGGTGAGAATAAAATGTCCACGGTTGCCCTTTGTGGCAGAGACTAGGAGAACATTCCTAGACACTGATTCTCATTCGTTCAAAATCATTCGTTTGTATGCCAGATGATGAACTTCTCAGGCAACATTCTGCGAAAGAATAGCCACCGGTATTCAAGTGAACGTATAACGAACGAAATGAAGGTGGCAGAAAAGAATGCACATAGTATAAAGCTTCACAGATTTAGAACGATGAAAATCGTAAAAGTTAGGAGGGAAAGAGAAAAAGATTTCTCAGATGATTTTTTTTTTACATGTTTAGGTGTAAAAAATTATTTCAAACTGATAAATAAAATTGTGGAGATTTAGGTGGACTTCTTAGTACAACAGAACACACTAAGATCATCCGCTACAATTTGGTTGATTAAGAAAAGGGAAGGAAAGTGGGAAAGAAATATAGTAGGGTGATAATAGGCAATCTAAAGAAAGAGAAGATTAAGGACATCATGGGGTGGTACAATTATAATAGAAACCAGAATAAGAATGCAAACCTTTGCAATGATCAAGAAATGTATATGTACAGCTACCACAAAACAAAACAACACAGTGAAATATTTGAAAAAGTTATAAAACAAAAAAGAAAACAAAACTAAGACTAAATATCTCACACGAGTAAAGTAAATGACCTGACATTACCTACTAAAAAATATAATCTCAGCTTGGAGCACAAACCAAAACACAACTCTATGACATATAAGAAATTTAAAAATTTGAAAACATAATACTGGAAAAGAGATACCACTTTATGCCAGGTAAATATTAAAAAGAGGTCAGGGATTAGAGACACAAGTTTTGTTTAAAGCCACAATTCACAATGAAGAAAAAAAATGGGAAAATCTATATGACAAGTAACACAATCATGCTATTCCTAGCAATCACTATACAAATGAAAAAGTAGAAATATCTTACCAGATTAAAGGCACTAAAGATTAAATGAGGATTTAGATGATCTGAAAATATAATTAATGTAGACCTAAAATATCAAGCACTGTACCCTGAACCACAGACTACATCTTTTTAAGTGTTCATGGAACATTTGCAAACAGTTGCCACATTTTAGGTCACAGAGAAAAATCTTAATGTATACCAGTAATGAGAATAATCTTGATAGTATTATCTGATCAAATTTCAGTTAAACTAGGAATTAATGACAAATGAAGAAATAATACGTTTCTATGCCCTGGAAATTTTTAAATGCTTAAATGAAATTTGAATTAAGAAGGAGAACAAAGCCAAACTAGCACAATAGTTATAAAAGTAAGAAAATGACATATTAGAACCCATACAACTTAGCTAAAATAGTAGAAGAGGAAAATTCATGGCTTAAAATTTTTGTGTTACTTTAATAGTTAGAATAAATTAAAAGAACTAAACAGTTGTGCCAGAAGTTAGAAGTAAAACAAAATAAAAATTGTAAAAAGCAGAAGGAAGTCATTGATTAAAAAAACGCAGACAATGGTGTGTAAACAGAATAAGAATGAGGAGCAGAGATAGACGAGATAGCAGAGACAGGAGGTGTCTACACTGGGTCTTTCCCCACCCCCTTATCAAAGCACAGGTGGGTGTGCAGAGGCCCTGTGACTGAGACAGAACTTTTCAGACTTCCTCCAAGTTAAATCTGCTGTCTACCAACTTTCCATAAGCAGCTTGGTATCTTCACTTTGCAGTCTGTTTACCAGTTTCTTCCTTTATGGTTGGAGTTTTGTGCTGTTTGTTCGTGAATCATTCAATCACACTGTCAGATAGCTTTTTGGTTCACAAACTATAGATGCAATCACTTTCATTGTTTTGGAATTTTCTAGTTTAATTATCAAGAGAAAAATCTCCTCTCTTCTCCTGATACATGATAAGTATCAATCTTGCCTCCATTTCCTGCCAAAATTAATGACTATTACCTTTATTTTTGTAAGCTAAGAATCTGAGCCTTGGTATGATGAATACAATCCAGCCATGCAGCCACTGTGCAGCGTAAACAAAATGGTAGAGTTTGAAAAGAAGGCCAAGACAAGAGGCTTGTCCAGTTGAGGTTGCGTAGCAAACATGCATAGCAACCCCTAAATAAATCTAAATAATTTTCCCTCAGTGCTCACGAGCCAGGAGGAAGGACAGTCAAAAATAAATTGTGGAATTAATCAAAAACTAGAAATTACCGGGCAGATGTTCCAAAGCAAAGAAGGCAAGGTAAAGGTGTCTGGGCTGGCCAGAGAATGTCTGGATGATATGCCCCAGCATTCAATATGACGGCAGCTAAAGTGAGGCCAGAAGGGAAAAAAATGATGAGGCAGTCACTCTGATAGGAAAACAAGTTAGCTGAGATATCACTTTAATTAAAATTGTAATTTGATCAAAACTGAGCGTTTCCATGAACTCTGTGCATACATTTGATATTCCATGGAGGGTGTTTGCTGTTTCCTCTTATATATCTCTTTTTTCAGAATTTTTTTAAGTTTTAAAAATTACATTCTTTTCTTGATCATTGTCTAGTTAGAGCTGCTCTGTAATGTTTATCGTACTAAACTTTTAGACTCAAAATAGCCAACATTGAAAATGTATGAAATCTGTATTGGGAGACAAATAATTTATATCAGATGATTCCTTCTCTGTTTTAAAAATAGGTAAGTGTATACTGAAAAGTATCCATAAGATATTCTCCAAAATGATTTTTCTCTAGGTAGATAAAATTATAGTCTTCATTAATTTTTTTGTCTGTGTGTATTTTTTATTTTCTGGTAACATACTGGTATTACTTTCATAATAGAAGTAATGAAATAAAACTTATAAAATATGTAGAATTTCTCTTAGCTTTGAAATGTGGGGGTTTTTTTGGTTTTTTTGTTTGTTTGTTTGTTTGTTTGTTTTTTTCATTTTTCCTTTTTATCGGTACCAGGGATCGAACTCACAACTGCCTGCTTGCAAGGCAGGCGCTTATGCCGCTGAGCTAAATCCCCAGCCCCACTTTGAAATGTTTTAGTCCATCTTCCACCAATTGGTGTTTGTTTTGCTTATTTGACAAGATTTTCATAATTTTTAAAATAACATTGATTGGTTGGAAACTAATCTTTTCAACCAAAAATTCACTTTTTTGGCTTTCATGTGGCTACTTTTAAAATGCCACGTTTACGTATTTATATACCTCAAATAATCAATGAAGTGATGATGTGCCGTTGTCCCTTTCAGCTGGGGTTCCCACTCTTTCAGCAGTAATATCAGGCGGATGACGTTCCTTTGGAGGACTCTCGTCTTTCCATTGTGTCCTTTAGTGCATCCCCAGTGTACGTGACAGAAGAAGCCTACTCCAGCACTTTGATGGGGAGTACAGCTTTGAGTGACAACCTTCATGTGGTCCCCAGTGTGTGATCAGGTCATCAAAGCCAGATCATTGGCTTACGTGGCATGATCGGGAAATGAGTTTATCTGTGATCTGAGGGTTTCGAGGGATTAGTAACCCTTTCAAGTTACACCTTCTCCCCCTGTGGGGCAAAAGTGTTACAAAGAGCAGTGACACAGATCATCACAGAGGTAAAACATTCTGAAGAGAGCAGGGAAGAACGAAAGCCCACTGTGTGCTATGGATCTGAACACCAGTCATCTCATTTATTCCCAATTACTCAATGAAACCGGTGTTATGCCCATTTTTTTGAATAGAAAACCGAAGCTCAGAAAGTTTAGAGAAATCCCTGAAGTTACTCTTCTAGTAAATTTCTAAACTGTGATAGAACCCATATCTGTCTGACAGAGGTTAGTGTGCTTATTAGTGTACTAAATTCTTCATAAAAGGTGATTTAACTAACCCACACGACAGCCGTGCCCACACCAGGCATCTTTCTGACAATGAACAGTATATAATCTCCTCAGTACTATTGGAGATTTCCCATTTATCAGGGACTTTCTATGCACTAGATACTAGAATGAATGATTTACATAGTTTTTCAAATTTCTTTCTCCTAAAAACTGTATACAATAGTGTTCCATCCCCATTTACCAAGAAATGGGTGTTTAGTGAAGGGTTTTTTGTTTTGAGGGTTTTTTGCTTGTTTGTTTTTTGCCCAGTGTCATACATACCTGAACCCAGATCTCCTGAATTCCAAATCCCATCCTCCTGAATTCTACTCTTTGTGCCTACCAGCTGAACATGGGTATACTGGTCAGTTTTGCATTACTGTAAGAAACATTTGAGATAATAAGGTTATAAAGAGAAAAGGTTTATATGTTTTGGAGGTTTCAGTCTCTGACTCTATTATTTTGGGGCTGTGGCAGGTCAATATATCATGGTGGTAGAACTTGGCAGATGAGGCCTGTTACCAGGCGAAGAAAAAAGAGAAAGAGACTAACCTTTTACAATCGAATTTGACTGGATGGCTCATGAACCCTAAGTCTCCCATGATACCCTGTTTCTTAAGGTTTCCACAACCTCCAACACCACCATACTGAGGCAAACCTTTAATAACACAGGTTCTCGGGAGTGCCTTAAATTCTAAATTACAACAAAGGAAAATGACTCAGTTCACTGTACTAGACCATCACCATATAGTTAAACATATTTTTAAGTTCAAGATATGCTTTTATTTCTAATATTTCTATGATTTAAAGATTGGAAATAATTTTTTAGATTTGATTTAATTCCATCTTGCACTTTTGGAGTCCAATATCTTAGTTACTTGTCCTAGATCAGTATGATTGTCCAGAAAGTAAAAACTTGACTTGGGCTTGATTATCATGCTTTGCAAGTTCTCCAGTTTTGAGAGGGAAAACTAGGGTTGATC